CCGAATAAACTCGGAAGTGAAGGGGAACGGGAAGGTTCCAGATTTGCCAACAGACCTGCAGGAGTGCCCGTGACCCCTCCCCAGCACTGCCACGGCTCCCACCCTGGGGCTGGCCAGGAGGGGTGTGCAGAGCAGGGGCTGTGGATGCCATGAAGGGGTCGAGGGCCATGGCCCACAGCAGCCCTGAGGTGCAGGATGGAGAAGCAGTGACTGAAGAACATCTGGGCAAGGCAGGTGTCAAACCTGGGCTGCCGTGAGCCCAGAGCAGCACCCTGAGCACCGTGGGGAGTGTGGACAGACACACTGAGCTCCAGCATGGCCAGCAGGCACAGCAATAGGAGCATGGGCTGGTGGAGGCTGCATCAGCTCTGATGCCAAGGAGGGTTGCACTGTTTCCCAGGGTGGAAATGACGTACAGGCAGCAGAAAGGGATGGCAAGCCACACATTCCCACTTCCCACTCCCGGGATTCCTGTTGGAAGGAAGGTAGAAGGTCTAAGGAAGTTGCTGTTGCTCTCTTACCTAGTGCAGCATCTTTGTTGTGTCAGAGATCCAGCAGCAGATCCTGCAGCAGATCCTGCTCATCCTGCAAAAGAATTCACAGAACCCACAGAACAGCAACCAGGACACACAGCAAAGCTTTGTGTCACTGCAGGAATCTGGAATTCTGACTTGGCAGCAAGAGGGAATTTTACCTTTGTGATCAGCTCCCAGCACAGAGAACCACAGCTCCTACAAGTCAGAAAGCTGCTGGAGATGGAGGAGGCAGTGCCTGGCTGATGGATTTTGGTTTTGCTGTGCCAGGGCACCGAGAGCTGTTTAACTGAGTGACAGACTGACTGTGCTGCCCCAGGGAGCCACAGCACTGGGAGTGACATCCTGGCTGGAGGGGGAGAGCAGACTTGTACCTCAGACAGACATCCCACCCCTGGGCCGGCAGTCAGGGAAGGAGTTCACTGGTCCTTGCTTGGGCTTTTCCTGGCCCAGCAGCAGAGCAAGAGGAGGAGCCCCTTGCAGGTACCAAGACCTGGGCTCTGATGTTGCCAGGTGACTCTCTCACCTGCATATCCCAGTGTGGATTCCCGTGCCTCAGGGAGGAGATTCCCGACTCCCTCCTGTCGGGTGCTGCAGAGCACATCAGCTCTGCTGGCTCCGAGCCGCATCCTCAGTTTAGATCTCTTTTTTTCCCACTATTTTTATTTTAAATCCTTTGCAGCTCTGTTTTCTTTCTTTCTGTGAATTGATCTCAGGCTTGGTGATCTTCTCCTTCCCTAAAAATAGCCTTGGCAGCACAGACCTGAGGGAAGGGCCTCTGTGCCAGGCGGTTCCTGCCTCTCCGAGCTGAGCACAGCTGAGAACCCTCACAGTGCAGCAACACTGTGGGACGCAGCCAACGAACACCCACCAGCCTGGGGGTGCCAAAGGTGCTGCCAAAAAGCAGTGCAGTGAACACCTGCTAGTCCAAGAGCGGAAGATTTTGGCCTCGGATATCCTTGTATGTACGAACACGGGCGCTGTTTTCCAGCATGAATGAAGTAAACAACAACCACACCACCCTCTCCAGAGGGGGAGAGCTCTGGCAGCTCCCAGTGCTGCCCAGGAACCTTCTGCAAGCCGAGGAGACAAGATCTCAGTCCTACTTACCCACCTGGCCAGGCTGAGGCACAAAGGTTGTCCTTCCTTACAGATCTCTGGGTACCTGCTCTGTCAGCAGCAGCATCTCAGCTGGGCAGGACCCATCAGTGACATCAGGGCACAGCTGGCACTGCCAAGGGCACATTGTCTCACCCCAGTGTCTGTCCTGGTTGGATAAATGGTGAGTGCAGCCTTCACTGAAGGGAAAAAGGGTCTGAGGGGAACAAGCTCCTCACGACACAGGCACCCTCCCTTTAAAACTCATCATCACTTCAACCACAGTAACACCGTCAGAGTTATCTGATATTTATCTGAGACCTGACATGAGAAAAGCAGCCTGGAAAAGCTGACGGCTTTGCCTTAAATATTTATATGGATATTTGTATCTCCACACCCACACAGGAGCTGCTGGAGCATTTCCCTCCAGGCTGCAGGTGAACGTGCCTTGACATCACCCTCCACAAGGCTCCCCAGGGCTCCCCGGCTCGCTGGGGACTTCTGCTTCTTGGTTTTGGCTGATCCACTGCCTCAAAGGAGGTGATGCAAACATGTCCTTGAACCCCAGTGTCCAGTGGGATTTGCCTTGGCTTTGCACCAGGAGCTAAATAGGAGCAGGGACTGGGTGTGATGTCAAAGCAGGACTGGGAGGTGCTGCTGGTTTATGGCTTCAATGAGGGACATCAGGCAGGAGGAAACACTCCTGGGAGACCCTCTGCAGGGATGAGGAGGAGAGATGGGAATGCACCAAGAGGAGAGAGTGATGGTGGCAAGATGGGGAAAAGCTGGAGAGAGACCTTGGACAAGGGCCTGGAGAGACAGGACACAGGGAATGGCTTCCCACTGCCAGAGGGCAGGGATAGATGGGATATTGGGAAGGAATTCCTGGCTGGGAGGGTGGGGAGG